CCCAAGGACTGATTCTCAGCTGAGATGCCTGATGGATCATTCTCCACTCTGAAGATCCAGCGCACAGAACCCAGGGACTCAGCCGTGTACCTCTGTGTCAGCAGCTTAGCCGCAGTGCTGCAGAGTCACCAGCAACTTCTGCAGAATGCCTCACTTCCCCTTCTCCCTCCAGCCCCCAGCCCTTGTAGCAGTCTTTCCAGGCTCCTCCCCTATGAGGAGAAGGAGCTGGGTTTGGTGTTCTACTGCCCCCAGGGAAGGCAAGAACAGAATGTAATGAGGAATCACATCAGGAAACTTTCCACAGGAAGGCAATAGGGGGGTGGTTCTTGGCATTCCTCACTAATTCTCACAGAGGGTGACTGAGTCAAGATTGAGGGTGACTGTCACCCACTGAGCTTTCGAGTGATGAAGTGAGCTTAAAACTGTGCAGCATTGCACAGTGATAGTTACCTAGCCTGCAGCATCTTCAGTTATGATTAAAAGTTCCCCCTCTTCACCATCAGAATGTTCAGAATGGTTAAACAGACCATGGTTATAGCCTCGGAATCGCCAGCCCTTTCCAATTTATCCGAATCATTCTCATTATGCATTTTTCATAATTGTCTTCCTAATTTTAACAAAAATAAATCGCATTTTCAAAAGTTCATCTTTTTAAACTTTTCATTCAAAAATAGTTGTAGATTTACACGGAGCTGCAAAGTAGAGCAAAGGGGTCCAGTGTACCCTCCATCCGGTTTCCACCAATGGTTACATCTTACCTAATTATACTAAAATATCAAGACCAAGGAATTGACGTGGGCACTACGTGTGCAAGCAGTTCTAAGTCATTTTTATTACATATGTGGGTTCATATAACCGTCACCACAGTCGGGATACAGAACTATCACAACACCACAAAATCTTCCTCACTTTGTAATCACACACACACCTTCCCTAACCCCTGAGAACCACTGATCTAGTCTCCATATCTGTAATGCTGTCATTTTGAGAGTGTTTAATAAATGGAATCATATAGCAGGTGACCTTTTGAGACTGGCTTTTTTTACTCAGCATCTTGCCCTTAAGATGCATCTGAACTGTTACTTTTATCAATAGCTCATTTTTTTTGCTTTTTATTGCTGAGTAGCAGTCCACGGCATGGATGTACCAGAGTCTGTTTAGCCATTCACCTATTGTAGGACATTTTGGTTGTTCCTATTTTTTGACTAATACAAGTAAAGCAGCTATATATAAACATTCATATACAGAATTCTATGTGGACCTAAATTCTCATTTCTCTGGGATAAATGTATGCCCAGGAGTGAGATGGTTGGGTTTTATGGTAAGTGTATGCTTATTGTTTAAAGACACTACCAAATTATTTTCCAGAATGGATGTACCATTTTACATTCCCAGAGATGCATTGGAATACTAGTAATTTCAACTTACATGTAACATTCCAGTTTATCATTTCCACAACACACATGCAAATAACTAAAAGAATAGAAACATGGTAGACCCAGAGACTTTTTTCTGTGGGTGTTTTTGAACTCTTCTCTTCAGAAATGTTTGAATTCTGTCTATCCCTTATCTAACTGGGGTCTGCCTCTTCAGTGTAGCCATCACTGCCTGCTGCTGTCTGAGTGTTTGTGTCAGCGTCCTAGAAAGCTGTGAGTCACTGTCAGCCGCCTGATTCATAACCACAGAGTCCACGAGGACGCCTCTCAGGTAGTTAGCTCTACCGGGTCCAAGTGTACACCCTGCCTCCTCAGTCTCCTTTGCACACAGCCCACAAGCACGCTGGGGTCACACAGACTCCACCTTAGCTAATTTCTGTGAGATGACAGACATTGAAGCTTAGCAGTGAAGAGAATGCCAGTTACAGATTTATGTACAAAGGACTAAGGTTGATTCATTAGTATTGCAGGAAAATGATACCTATGAAAATTTCCAAACTCATCAGGAAAACATTATGTATAGTATGGTAGCTGAATAATGACCCCCAACCCCCCACGCAAAGATATCCATGTCCTCATTCCTGGAACCTGTGAATGTTGCATTATATGGCAAAAATGCACTTTACAGGTGCTATTAAGTTAAGGACCTTGAGATGGGGAGATTATTCTGGATTATCCAAGTGGGCCCAATGCAATCACGTATATCCTTACAAGAGGGAGGCAGAGGGAAATTGACACAGACGGAAGAAAAAAAAGCAGTGTGACAGAGGCAGAGACTGAAGTGATGCAGCCATAAGCCAAGGAGTGCTGGCAGCTACCACAGGCAGGAAGAGGCGAGAAACAGATTCTCCCCTGGAGCCTCTAGAGGGAGCGGGGTTCTGATGATGCCCTGATCAGCCCAGTGATACAGATTTTGGACTTCTCTTCTTCAGACTGTGAGACAATATTCTTTGTTGTCTTAAGCAATCAAGTAATTTGTCCTAGCAGCCACAGGAAATTAATACACTCGGACATGTCTAGTTAATCTGAGACTAGATCAAGAAACTCGTGTCCTCTTATTGTTTGTAAACCTCACCCTCATGTTTTTATCTAACACTCATCTCCAAACTGTAGTGACAGAAAATGAGTTGGAGACTTCCAGTACTCTATGAATGAGAGGAGTTCCTGTATAAATTATGGAAGAACTACTGAGAGCTGTGTTAAAGGACGAAAGTCAAATTACGATTACCAGAAACGTTGGTCAGACTTCCTTAAGAAACTAATCTTTTCTTCCCTAAGGAAAAAAACATAATTTTTTGTTGTACAATGAATTCCATAGGTTAAGATGTCAATAGATGTCGGGTTCCTTCTGTAGATACAGCACTGAAAACTATTGTCATTAGATACTTGCTATGACATGAGTCACTGTGATACAGACAAAGAATATAGCATGGTATCGAGACCTATAGAAGAAATGCAAGCTCCCAGATCAGCTCAGGGCTCAAGACATGAATTCAGCCCCTGTAACTCCAGCCATGCTAGAGAAATCCAAGTGCTTCCAGAACAAATCTGACAAACTGCATAATTGGATGGTTTTGAGACTCTATGATTAATAGAAACGAAAGTCCAAGGAGCTGACTTGAAGCTTATATGTTGAGCTAATGTTTTGATATATTAAGTTTGAGGTGCTATTGGCACAGTTGTTTATACAATAAATGTTTGCTAAGCTCCCATATGCTCTAGGCTCTGATGTTTCTTCTGTTTTTTTAACTGAGAAATATACTTAATAAGATCTCAGGAAACAAGATCAATATACAAAAATATGCAAATATCAATTGTATTTCTATACACCAGTAACCGCCTGAAACTGAAACTAAGAAAATAATTTCATTCAAGACAACAACAAAAGGAATAAAACCACTTGGGGAGAAATTTAACAAAAGGAATGCAAGAATTAAAGATAGGAAAACCATAAAACATTACTGAAAGAAAATAAAAATGTAAATAACTGGAGAGATATCCTCTGTTCATGGATTAGAAGACTCAATATTGTTAAAAAGGTAATTCTTTCTAAATTGATCTATGGATTCAACACAATCTCTATCAAAGTCCCTTTGTCCCCGTGTCTGAGGCGTGTCTTCTGCCAACCATTGAGAGGCTCCCATTTTCTTTCAAGATTCAATTCTAGCATTTCCTCCTTTCCAAAAAGTTTCAGGCTTTGTTTTAAGTTCTGGGCATACATCAATAAAAAAATAAAAAGAAGAAAACAACTCATGTCCTCATGATGCTTACATTTTATTGGGGAGGACAGAGACAGAAAACAGGCAATAATTATAATAAATAAAAAAGTTGTATATTATCGAGAAGGTGGTACCCTCTATGGAGAAAAGAACAAGAAGACTAAGGTAAGGGGACCAGGACTGCCTGAGAAAGGAGTGTTTAAACTGTCAATAAGATTTCCAGGGTAGGGCCCAGTGAGAAAGTGACCTTTGAGCAAAGACTTCAAGGAGATGAAGGAGAGAGACATGCAGACACCTGGGGGAAGACCATTCCAGGCAGAGGGAAAAACTGGTACAAAGGCCCTAATAGTTACTCAAGGACCAACGAGGAGTCGAGCACGACTGAAAAATGAAGGAAGAGAGCAGGAGCTTATGTCAGAGAGGTAATCAGTGGGTGGATCCTACAAGACCTTGAAGGCCTATGAGCTTTACTCTCTTACTCTGAATGAAGTTGACAGCAGATGATTTGGAGCAGGTGAGTGACATGATAAAACATGTCCTAGAAAGCTTAGTTTGACAGCTAGTCAGGAAGGAAGGTGGAAGCAGGGAGACAAGTTAGGAATCTAATGCAGTAATGCTAGCAAAAGATGACAGTGGTTTCGTCCAGATTGATAGGAGTGATGGTGATGAAAAACGGACAGATTCTGTGTATATTTTGATTGTAGAGTCAGTTTAATTTTCCAGTGGGTTGGCTATAGGGTGAAGTTGAAGAAGAAGAGTCAAGGACAACTCAAGAAACAACAACAGAGGAAGCAAGTCAACAACAAGGTTTTCAGCTGGATCAACAGGAAAGCTGCTGGTGGAGCTGAGTTGAGGATGACTTTTCATTTTCTGAGCATACTGAATTTGAGAGTGGGGGCAGCAAAATCTTGATTGGAGCACATTTAAGAAAGAATGGGAAAAGAGAATTTAGAGATAACAAGTATAGATAATTAGAAATAGCAAGAATAGGAACAGCGGGCACTTTAAGTGGAAATGTCCACAGTCTTTAGGTATGTGATACATGAGAGAAGTTAGGGATCAATGGGACGGGGTAGGGTCTAGATATTGGACTCAGGACCTATGAGTGGTGACTTCTTCATTAACCTATATGATGTTAAAACCTATTTAAATGCATGAACAGGTCAATTTTTATTGGCATCAGTTCTCCATCATTCCCTCAAGGGGCAGCCTTCTTCAGAGAAAACTTGCTCTTTCTTCTATGTTCCTCCCTCCCTAGAGGGAGCATCTGAGACTGTGGATATTGGCTAACACGGTGATGTCACTGCCAAGCCACACCTTCTAGGCCCAAGGGGACATGGACTAACTTTCATTTCTGCTCATACTTACAAGCTCCCTCATCTGGAAAAGTTCTCCTTTTTATCTGGATCCTGCCATGGTGTCCATGCTTCTCAGCTTAGTGTCCCTTTGTCTCCTGGGTGCAAGTGAGTCTTTAGAAATCTGAGCATCTCTGCTTGGCCCTCTCCCAGTCCACACTTGTCATGTGTTCTATGTTCTTATTTTTCCCACAGGACACACATCAGCTGGGGTCACTCAGTTCCCCAGCCACAGGGTCATAGAGAAGGAACGAGCTGTGACTCTGAGATGCGACCCAATTTCCGGGCATGAAGGTCTTTATTGGTACCGACGTGCTGTGGGGAAAGAGATAAAATTTCTGGTATACTTCCTAAGAGAGTCTAAACGGGATGAGTCAGGGATGCCCAAGGATCGGTTCTCAGCTGAGAGGACTGAAGGGACGTATTCCACTCTGAAGATCCAGCCTGCAGAGCTGGATGATTCTGGAGTTTATTTCTGTGCCAGCAGCCAAGACACAGTGCTTCAGAGTCATGCCCTTCCTGTAAAAAACCGGACCCTTCTCCCCTCTCCTCTCAACACATGGCAGCCCTAAACAGAAGTTTTCCTTGTGCCTCATCCCCCAAGAAGAGAAGAGAAGGAGAACCAGAATTTACTCTTGAAATACAAGTGTTTCAAGAAAATTTTGGTGGGGATATTTGTGATTTGGGGGATTTCTCACGTTCCTCACACAGAACTCTATCTACGCATTTCTGTTTTTTAAGCGCGTGTGTGTGTGATCCTGGTGAAAGTACAGCAGCTTCTTGCCAACCTCCCTGCTCTGATCTGAAAGGAATTGTGACTCTCGTTGCGGCCACATCTTCACATCCCTTCTTATCACAAGATAAGCAAGTCTCCCTGAAGGAAATTACAATGGTGAATAAAAATGCATTTACTACTGGTTGTAGGTTGCTCACCGATAATAGTGGTAATGGTGGTGATAAGTTTAGGTTACATTTGTCTAGCACAAATCCATTTCCAAATGCTTTTTAAAACCTCATTTTTGAGAAGAAAGCCAAGTCACTTATTACATATTAAAGTTAATTTTCCATTATTATCCATAGGGTCTGATTTGCTAATGTAAAAATCATGAGTTAGTGCTGTATATAGATGTATGTCAGCCAGTTCTGAACATTCTAAGGTCACTTCCAGTTGCTGCAAAAGGGCTACGTTATTCTTAGAAGGCCGGACATCGGGGTTATGTTGATCTGAGGGTTACAGATCCAGCAGGAGCAGAATGAGGAACTAGATACAGTTCAAAGCCTTATTGTAAATCACCCTGATGCAGAGATTTCCCCAGTGTAGGAAGGCTGCTTCTAGACCCTTTTCTACTGGCCACAAGGAGGGACTATGGTGTCATGGATAGCCAAAAGTTGTAGTGAATTTCCTTGATACTCTGAAAAGTGTATCCAGACAGAGGAATTCCAGGGCTTGGTTTTTGTACTAAGGTGGGGATAGATTGCAGATGTCAGTCATTCATCTGTGACGTGGATAACAAAACATAAAGACATGATCTCAGCAGGTTTATAAGTGAGACTTTAGCAGAAGCTATTCCTGTGTTGAGGAACCTCTGAGCTGCCTTATAGGATGTAAGAAACGAAGGGTGAGATGGAGAGGCCTGGCGGACATGGGGCGGATACAGGAACAGGGGCAAATAAGGGAATACCACATCTGCCTCATACCTGATCCAGCCCAGCCCAGACTCCCCTGCCAAGTAAGAAGCTGTGTCTATTATCACACCAAGGAGTGACCCTCGCCCTGGTGAGGTCAACAGCAGCACTGTCACCATAGGCAGATCTACCTATCAGGGACTGGGGACTCTCTGCACTCCTACCTCTCAACCCAGAGTCTGCCACAGACAGAAGACCTATTCCTGTTGTGACTCTGTCATGGGTCTCAGGCTTCTCCACTGCATGGCCCTTTGTCTCCTTGGAGCAGGTGAGTCCCGGTCAGAAAGGAAATTTTTAACTAAAGCTATCACGTCCTCAGTTACGTACCTTAATTTTATGGCAGCAATATCCACCTCCTTCTTGATTCTGTCTCTATATTTTCCTTCTCTCTCTGCAGATTACATGAGTGCCATGGTCACCCAGAACCCAAGATACCAGGTTACCAGGGAGGGAAAACCAGTGACCCTGAGTTGTTCTCAGAATCTGAATCATGATACCATGTACTGGTACCAACAGAAGCTGAGCCAAGCACCAAAGCTGCTGTTCTACTACTATGCTCAGAAAATTTACAATGAAACAGACACCTCTGACAACTTCCAACCCAGATGGTTTAACACGTCCTTCTGTTCTCTTGGCATCCGCTCACCAGGCTTGAGGGACTCAGCAGTGTATCTCTGTGCCAGCAGCATGGACACAGAGCTAAAGTGTTACCTCCCCTCTGCTCATAAACCTCTCTGTTTCCCAGATCCAAGAGCCTTCTTAGACACCCCCCCTCCCTCAGCAGCAACAGGAAGTGGGTTTATGGGTCTCCTTATCTCCTTTGTAGACAAAAGATGGGCATAAAACTACAAAAACCATTGACAGTTACGCCAACTGTTTAAAAGTGGTTATATTGCCCCAACATTCGGTTTGTGGCATTTTGCCAGGATCATTCAATTCACCCATTCTGTTCTCTTCAGTAGATAAATAGGAACTTTTTTTTTTCAGTTTTTTGTTTTGTTTTGTTTAATCTAAGTTGGAGACTTAGAAATACATTAAAGAGCAGGCCCAGGGAAGATGTAGCCCCATTCTCATGAATCCTTGCCCTAAGGAAAAGAAATGGCCCTCATAGGCAAGTGGATGTGGTCTCACAGTGTTCTTACCAAGTAGAGGAGATTAGAACTGCTAAAAATTTGTTCCAGGTTTGAAGAGAAATGAATTGCCTGGGACATACATTATTTACAATGTATTTAGCTATTTTGCCTGATATAAACCTGTATGAACCATTTAAGTGGCACATAAATAGGATCCATATCAAAAGCTAGATACTGTGCTTTGGAAGATATATTAAAATTACTAGAATTTTCTCTACATTTTACTATTAATAAAAAATGTAAGTACTACATCTTCTTTGAAAGAAAAGGGATTTCTAGCTTCTACTAGAAAAACTCTCTAAAAGCCAATATGCATCTTATGTTCTTTGCTAGATTGAAATATTTATGACGACTGATTGATAAGTGGATTCCTGAGTAAACAAAGTTTATCAGTGCAAGATGGAATTGGCATCTGCTAGCTATGAGAGGCCTGACTCAGAGGATGAGAATGTGTCCTCATTTTAATTTTGAAGAACACATAGACATTCCTACTAAGGAATAGTTTATTACATCACCACATATAGTCCACAATAACGTCACATGTTTCTAATTTTTTAACCAAGAGGCCAAGAAGTACCACCCAAGATCAAATTCTGATAATTTTAAGTAAAAATCAGAGAAGCTAAAACTGTCATCTGGGCCACCTACCATCTAACAACAATATCCTGCTTTTCCTCTCTCTCTTACTCACTATACATCTACACTGCTTTTCTCACAAATTATTAAAGCTTGTGTCTTTTTATTCTCCTGTGTAGATTTCAATTTTTTTCTTTGATAAAGTGAGGTGTTGGGGCTAGATGTCTCTGGGGCCTCATCTCTCATCTTATGGCTCTATGATACAGTCTAGAATATTGACGCGTCTTGATTGAAATGCCAAAGAGCTCAACCAGGGGGCCTATTAGACCCTCTTTAGATTGTGTAAACACTCCACATCCCCCTGAAAACAGGAAGGAGAGAAATGAAGAGCACAGACTCATTATCTCATTCCAGGCCCAGATAAAATGTGAGACCCGGGACTGAAGATACTGATGCATCTGGTGCTCCAGCGCCCTGTCTGATCCTTATACCTGGATGGCTTCAGAAGGCATGATGATGGAGAAGGAGGTGGACAGGGGCAGAGTTTGACATTGCTAAGCAGAGCAGCAGGTAATTACCTTGTTCTCTAGGGGGTGTGAAGGTCACTAAAAGCGCGAGGACACATTTAGGGAAGGAGGAAATTAAATCTTAGGAGAATCTGTTGAAAAAACTGGAAAACACACATGAAGTCATGGTGTTGGATGATCTGGGAGTTTAGAGAGAGGAGGGGAGCAAGAGTGAATAGTTTCATTTTTTTTTATTGTGACAAGAACACTTAACATGAGATCTGCCCTCTTAAAATTTTAAGTGTAATGTGATGTACACACACACTAAAATAGTATTCAGCCTTAAAAGAGAAGGAAATTCTGCAATATGCACAGCATGGATGAACCTTGAGGACACTATGCTAAGTGACATAAGCCAGTCACAGAAGGACCAATACTGCATGGTCCCACTTCTACAGGAGTGAGTGGATCCTTCCTGGGGTATGTCTCATCCCAGCTACAGCTTCCTCTCATCTCTCTCATTTTTGTTCAGGACTTTCATTTCCCAACAGCCAAACAAGGACATCTTTTAAGAGTAGAATCTCTGTGAAGATCCAGTGCCATCAGATGGATGTTCAGAACCTATTTTCTAGAACTTTCAGTTACCTCAGCAGAGCTTAATACTGATAGTGATCCCTACCGAGCACCACTAACCCACCTATAAGAAATGCATTAGTCCAGGTCCTCCAAGGAATAGATGCCATGGATTAGTCATGAAGGGATTTAGTAGAGAAAATGACTGCGAGAGAAAATGAGAAGGAGGCTGAGGAGGCTGGGCCATCAGACTGTGCTGCAGATCTGACTCCTGTAAGGAGAGAGGGAGGGAAGACAGGAGGAAAGGAAGAGAAAGGGGGGAAGGAAGCAAGAAAGGAAGAAAAGTTTGTCTTAGATTGTACTGCAGTTCTAAGAAAATCTCAGCAATTCTAGGTGAATCATTAAGTCAAAGTGGAGCTATGGAGCTTCTGTCCTTTGGCCTGCCTCTCTCATGGGCAGAACCTCTGCACCTCGGCTCCAGAGTGGGGGGCAGGGGCAGTGCCCACTTCTCTTAGAATGATCTGCCTGATCTCTGAGAGGGTCCCTGGGTGGGGTGGTATGCCCTCGTCTTCTTCACTTGCTCCTCCCACCATGGAACATCTGCTCTATGAGCAAGCCAGAATGCGGTAATTGGGGCCTAGTATTCTTGGTCTGTTGTTCCTGGAATAGAGGGTGCACCCTATGAGTGGGCATGGGCGCTGGGTGGAGGAAGGGAGCCCAGAACTCTGGGCTGCACCAACAATAGCGTTTCTACAACATGGAGCTGGTGGGAATGAGAAGTGCCGGCAGCCTGCCCCTCCCCGGGGAAACTGAAGGATCCCTGTGTTCTCCTCCACACCCACAAGGAGCGGAGCTTCTGGTGCACTGAGCTTGGGCTGGTGCAGGAGGGAGGGAGTCGTAGCTCAAACGCCACAGATTCTGTTGCTCTTACCAAGATTTAGTAGATTTCCTTGAATAAGTGTTTCTCCATTTGCTGTATGATCTTGCAAAAATTTTCAGAGGCTTTAAATGGTTGTTCCTAAATTCACAGAAGTTATGTTTCTTCTCTGGAAAAAGGGAATTCAGAGCTCCTCATGCTGCCATTCTGCAAGTGATTCT